CAATCCCGATACCTGCTGGAAATTTCATTAACAGGCCTGTTACTTCATTCTCCTTCACTTTGGTGATCAGCAAACCAGACCCACCACTAACTGTTTCCACAGGGCAGAGGGAACGCACACTCCGGCTCCCCCCGGCAGGCTCTGCCCGGCCCGGCCTGGGTGGGTGCTAACTTCGGTGCAGGCGCGCTCACGTCCCACCTTTTCCCAGGCTACCATATTCAATCAGGTCGCCCAGCAGGGCCCACTGGTCGCAGCACGTGGTCTGATAATCTAATCACAAGACCTCAAAAATAATAATACAAACTCATTAATAGTTTACTACTCGAAAATAACCCCCCCCCCCGCCGCCATTTCAGCTTCAGAGTGACTGCGTGTGTTGTTTGGAGTGGCAAGCAGAGACAGTAACTGCGACTGGCGCAAGGCAGGCGCCCCACGCACACATCGCACACGCAAGTCCTTTACTAGCAGCTCTGAGACTGCAGCGTCTGCTCCAGCTGCCGGACGTTCCGGGCGCCCAGCTCTGACGCTGGTTTGCCTAGAGCAGGGCTTCCCACGTTGGCGCTATTGACATTTGACGCTGGATCTGCCTGAGAGCTTCTTGTGTGCTGGGGAAAGTTAAGCCGTGCCCCCGTCCTCTCCCACAGTCTTCAAAAAAATTATAACAGGAATATATGAAATTTTGAGAGAGAACAGAGATGGCAGGAGATATGGGAATTAGCGGGAAATAGGGAGCTGTGGGGAAGAACACACGATTTTGAATGCGAGGGAATCATGGGAGACAGCGAAGACAGGGTGATTGTGTGAGAGACATAATTGTGAAAGACAAGGAAATAGTTTAAAGGAAAACTAAGAGAAAATGGGGACTTGAGAAGAAAAAAAGATGGTGACGAAAAGAGCATTGCTAGAAATACAAAATTGTGAGTTAGTTGGAGAATTGTGAGACAGTAGCACATAAGAGAAAAATACATGTGGGAGACACCGAGACTGGGGGAAGGACAGGACAGGGAACATTTGGGGAATAAAAATTGTGGGAAATAAGGAATTTGGGAAAAGAGGAAATTATGGAAGAGATGAAAGATTGTAAGCAAAGAGAGATTTATGGGAGAGAGTGGAGCATTATGGGAGAAGCAGAGCATTATAGGAAACAAAGGACTGGGGGAGAGATGGATGAATGTTGGAAAGAATGGTGCACTGTGGAAAGAACAGTGCCATGGCAACCTGAGAAGTTTGAGAAAGAATACAAATGCATACAGGAAATAAGAATTTGTGGGAGAGGATAGAGCATTGTGGGAATAACATAGTACTGTGGCAGCAGAGAGCATTGTGGGAGAGACTGAAGCATTGTGGGTAAGACAGCGACTTGTGGGAAACAAGAGGAATTCTGGGAAAAACATCATTGGAGGAATGAGGAACTGTGGGAGAGAATGGCATTGTGGGGATAACACAGCACTGTAGGAGCAGAAGGCATATGGAAGAGAATAAAGCATTGTCAGTAAGGCAGAGAATTGTGGGGAACAAGAGGAATTCTGAGGAACACAGGGCCTCATGGGGAAAATGAAGAATTGTGGCAGAAACAGAGTATTGTAGGAGCAGAGGGCATTGCAGAAGAGAGTTAAGCATGTGGGGAATTGTGGGAAACAAAAAGAATTCTGAGAAACAGGGTCTTATGGGAAAAATGAAGACTTGGGGAGAGAATGGAGCATTGTGAGAAGAACAGAATTGTGCATGCAAATGGGAACTGTGGGAATAATGGCAACTGTGGCCATGATGGAGGCGAAAAAGGAGAATGAAAAACGGACCAATATGAATGAAAACAAAGGATTGTGGGAGAGAAGATAGTATTAGGGAGAGGAGAGACTTGTGGGCTATAATAGTGTATTGAGGGAAAGAATAGAGAATTTGGGGCAGGAGTGGTGGGGGACAAACTACCCTTGAATTTGTAGGGGACCACTGAGGAGCCCCAAAAGCCAAATACATCTTGAGAAAGATCAAAGCTGAAGAGAGTATAGTCCCCAATTTCAAAAGATAGTGCAAAACTATAGCGATGCAAACAATAGCGTGTTGGCTTTAAAGCAGACACTTGAGTCCAAGAATAAACCCGTCATATAAGGTCAATCAATTTATGACAAAGGTGCCCAGACTAAACAGTGGGAAAAGAGACATATCAAGCATCAAGCCCATGAAAGCAAAGTGGGCGCATCTTTTCAGGCCATTGGAAAAAGAAAAAACGTCAAAAAATATTGAGATAGAAAATAAATAAATGATAAATAATACATATGTATTTAATATTGAGAAAGAGAAGTGACATTTGTTGACTTCTGAGCAGCAACGGTGGAAACGAGAAGACTAGGAAGCCGCCAACGAGTGTTCTGAGAGGACTCCTCAACCTAGAACTATATACCCACACTGTGAAGCAAGTGGAAAGATAAACACACAGTTGTCCTGGTTTCCAAGGCCTCAAAAATCAGTGTTTCTGAAAGCAATGCAAAGCAGACGCCAAGGTAACCGGGAAGCAGAGTTTCACCGCAGGACAGGGACACGCTGAAAGGGAGTCTCAGAAAGACAATGCAGGGGTCATCTCCAAACAGTGCGGAAAAGGCTAGGCAGAGCAGGAGGGCCTTATCTAGGTGTGAGGTCTCTAAGGCAACACAATACAGTGCAGTTGATAGATTTGAATGGAAATCGAGGCATAATCTCTGAAAACTAGGCCGACAGGGAAAAACAAGGCACGTATTAAATTCGAACACAAAAGTTGTACCAGAAAAAACCCATCTGTCGTTGTGACTATTTCAGTCAGAGTAATGCAAATACTAACCTGTGTTTATCTACAGTTCGATTTTAACTATTGGCACAGGGAGGGGCTGTGTGTTTTGGCAGGGACATGGCTGTGCTGGCAGGTGCTTACAATGTGAGGGGACAAACCCGAAGAAATGGAGAGCAGTGAGTCTTTGCCTCTGGAGAATGGGAACTGGAGAGGAGGGTGCCCGAGGCTTCCTGCCCACCCACGACTATACCTGTAAGCACCTTGCTCTGTAACCTGCCCTCTAGGAAGCCTCCTCCTCACTTGTTCTTTTCTAGACACTTCCTGGCGTGCCTCTTGACAGCCACATCTTCCTTTTTGCCCCAGAAGAGTCTGCACATGCAGAGTCACAGATGTGAAAGCAAGCGTCCCTGTTGTTTGCTCACCTGTCTTCCATCACCCAGGAGGCATCTTGCCTCTTCCCTCTGGCGTCTGCAGAAGGCTGGGAAGAACAAGTATGCTCTCAGAATAATGTATTTTCCATGCATAAACAAAATACAAGAAATCACATGAGGAACCAACTATACTGAAGCTCGGTTATCGACGTGTGAAAGAAGCTTATCTTGCAGCACCCGGACTGGTAAAGGCAGGGCGCCCCAGGAACAGTCACTGATGGAACGCGGCTTTCCAGGTGTCGTCTTGATTCAGTTTGCGGCCCTGCCTAGAAGCTGGCCAGTTCCCCTTCACGAGCAGGAAAGGGTACACCCCTAGCCATGTCCCTTCAGGGCACTCGTACTCTGGATCACTCTGCCCTGGCCCCGTCACCTTACAGCCAGGCACCAGGACCTGGGACAGCCCTGGAGTTACTCAAAGAAGTCCATCCTGAATGTTGCCCTGGAAACCTCAGTGTGGCTCTCGCACCTCGCCACCACCCCCTCCCCCTGCCAGGGATCCCAGTGCTTCTCCCCAGGGCCCCACTGTCCCGTGCACCCCTCACTAGGGAGCTGGAGGCACAACAGATTATCTTTGCAGAGGCGGTGGCTTCCTGATCTGTTGGCCTTCCCAAGCCTAAGTGATTATTAAACTTAGGAACACAGTCAAGACCCAAGATGTGGGCCTGGGCCAGAGCAATGTAAGGGCCTGGGCCAGCGTAGACCAGGAAGAAGTTGAGCTGTGATGCTGTGGAACCTCCACTGACCCTACGAGCACCTCGGAAGGGAGGTGACCCCGGATGCAGGGGCCCTGATTGTGGCGACCCCCCCAGGCTGCCGCCTGCCCCCCTGGAGGGGCAGGTCGTTTTGCCCGAAGCTGTTCTGGGCTGGGGCAGTTCTCCAAGAACCCAGAACTGTCAGCTGCAGCCCAGCACCCTGTGGGGCGCCGCCCTGCCCTGAAGGGGCCTCCAGACTGGGGCCACCGAGGGATGAGTGGATTTGAGGCAGGAACTACACAAGCGCCACCATGGCGCTGCGGCTCGCCAGTGGCGACGCCGGTCGCCGCCCTCCGTGCAGGCGGGGCCACGCTGGGGATTCAGCCAAGCGCGGGTGGGTCCGGGCTGTGTACCCAGGGTGGGGCCCGGGGCGCGGCCCCTGGGCGACGACCACGACCTGGACAGATCTTACAGGTCCCTCCCTGCCCCGTGCGGCCTGGCACCCGCTGCCCAGCATCGCCTTAGGGTGAGGGTGAGAAGTCACCTAGAGCCGACGCAGGTCACCGCGCCAGGCGGCGGGAGGTGCGAGGACCGGGCGGCCGCACCCCGCGAGCTCGGGGTCCGGAAGGCCAGGGGCGTCTGCTGCCTGCGGCCGCGCGGGAGCAGACGCTGAGGTGGCGGGAGGGCGCAGCAGGCCAGCAAGTGCACACCCTGCCAAGGGCGCTGGGGCTGGGGGCGCAGGCTGGCTGCACTTAGGGCTCTCCAGAGCCGCCCCCGGGGCTGCGCACGCCCTGGCGTCTCTGGAGTCATGCGCAGCATTTAAACCCACCCGGACACCAGGTGCAAGAGCGGCGCCAAGGCGCCTTCAAGGCAGCCTCTGAGGCGCCGGGCAGGCCCAGCCACACCTCTGGAGGCCTGGGCAGCAGCCTCAGCGCTCCCGCCCCGCAGCGCCGGGGGCGGGGCCCAGAGCCAGGTCGAGGGCGGATTGGCCGAGGCGGCTGGGGGCGTGGCCGCTCCCGCGCGATTCACGCGCTCCGTCCCTCCGGCCGGCGCCCCGCCTCCCGCGCGCCAGGAAGTCCCGCCTTCGGAAGAGGAAGTAGAGGCTGCTGAGAGCGCCGGCGGTGACCCTGGCGGCAGCGGTGACCCGGCGAGGGGAAGGCGGCGGCGGCGGCGGCCGATCGCTGCCGCTCAGGGCTCGAGTGGTGTGAGAGGCGGAGCCGCCGCCCAGGATTCAGGTGCCAAGGGGCTGTCAGGCTGGGGCCGCTGGGCGCTGGGGTCGTGGGGCTGGAACAGATGGGGCGCGCGGGGATCGTGCGAAGCAGACGGGCTGCGCCCTGCTCTCGCCGGCCTCCCTGAGTCCCTTCCCCGACCCGCAGCCCCTCTCCAAGCCGCGGGGCGGGAGGTGCGAGGAGTCTGGGCTCGTGGGCCCCCCTCTCCGACCGTCACCCCTTAGCACCCCTCCGGGGCACCGCTGTGGCGAGGCTTCTCAGAGACCCACCTCACACCTCTGGACACATGCCCCCCCGGCGGGTGGTGTAGAGTTGGGCCATGCCTTACCCAGACGGGGCAAGTGGGAAGGCTGTCTCTCCGCGTGACTGCCCTGCCCGCGCAGATGGAAGGAGCAGGTTGGCAAGATTAAGCTGTCAGGGGAGAAGTGGGAACGCAGCCATCAGCCTTAACCCTTCTCTTTGCTTCGGCACGTGTGAATTTAGAGCCTCGGATCGATCACCTGCATTTCAGCCATGGGATTGTCTGCTTCCACCCCTGCTGTTGCAGTTCAGACTGCAAATGCTGCGGAGGGTCAGACGGCATCCCCACCCGCAGGATGCCCAATGCATGAAGGGAAAATAAAAGGTAATCTCCCCTTGGTCTCGAAAATAAAGAGAAGCCACGAAAGGTTGTTGAGGGCAATGCAGCATACATGCCAGGCAGACATCGAGGCCTGGGAATGAAGAGACGGGGCTGGGTCCCAGGAGGCAGCGACGGTAGGCAGCTGCTCTGAGTCTCCACCCATCACCTGAGAGCTGGTGACTACCCTGACTACCCCGGATGTCGGCTCCCACCCCACACTACCTGTGTCTCCTTCAGCGTTGTCAGCCTCGGGGGTCTCGCCCATGTAAAAATAAGCCATCCCCTGCGGATTTGCTCGAGACCGCTTAGATTGTTCACGTAAAAGTCTGGTCTGAAGCCACCCGACATGTGGCTTCTTGTTTCAAGACCTGGAGGGAGCAGCCACCTCGGCTCCCGCCCTGAGCGCTGACCCTTCCTCGCCTTGTCGCCCTTCATTCCAGTGCTCAGTCAGCGAGGGCTCATGCGCTGCACGCGCTGCCCGTGTGCCGGCAGCGGCGGGCCCAGGTTATGCACTGAGACACCAGTGGCATATGCGGCAGACGGCTCCTTTGCCCACTAGAGCTCACACGTTCGTCCTCAGTCCTTTGTGATGGGTTTTCTCACGTCCTTATAGTTAAGGAAACTTACAAATCACACAGTTGGTGAGTGGGAAAGGCAGTGAACATCCCGTGATCTTGAGCCCGCACGGGTGCACACCCTCCCGGGGTCCTCCATACAGGAAGAGATGAGCCAGGTTCGGAGGCAGCAGGTGCCTGCCAGTTCCGAGCGTCCCCCGGGGGGGTCACAGGCCCTCTTTCTGGTTGGATTTCATTTGCTGTGCGCGCTCACCCAGACTCGTGCAGGCAGGTGAAGGGGTCACTGGTTATATAACGTGAAGAATGTACACGACTTGCAAGCCCCAGCTTGGACCCATGGCCCAGGGCTTTGCACTTTGAATGGCAGTGAGAGGAGAGCAGCAAGCCCCCTGCTCGCCAAGGGGCAGGCGACGCTAGAGATGAGGGGCTGCGGGGGAGAGCAGAGGCAAGGGCCTGGTGTTCGTGCAGGGCGCCCAGCGTGCAGTGCAGTCCTGGCCTTGCGCCGCTGCCGGAGACGAGACCCGGTTGCCCAGCAGCCGTCTTCCTGGCCCGAGGCGCTCCTAGGCCTGCCCCTCTCCCAAGTCAGACCTGCCGCTCAGGCCCACTGCTTGGGCCTTGACCACCCTTCTCTGCAGCTCTCCGAAGGTCACGCCTTCCCCTGAGGTGGCGTCGGGGCCCCAGGTGGATCGTGGCATGTTCCCTTCCCTTCTGCCTTCTGCAAACTCCTGCTACCGAGTGCTGGGGTGGAGCCTGGGCCAGGGAGCGTTTCCTGCCCTCGCTCTACTCGGGCACAGCACGAGCAGCGTGGCCTTGAGACTTGTCTCTAGCAGCCTTGGAGAAGGCCCCCCACTCGCTGTCACCTCCTGTCCCCAGTACCCGAGAGGAGCCCTCAGTAACCGAGCTGGGACTCTGTCCTGACTGGGCCTGGGCTTGTGTGAAACTGACGGACAGAGTCGAGGAGCCTCAGGGAGCTGCACCTCCCCAAACACCCTCTCAGCTTGCTCTTCACTGGCTCACAGCTGCCCGTCCCGGTCCTTCAGCCCTTTCCTGGAACCCGGGCATGAACCGCCCATTCTCTTGAAAATACTAAGATCGGGGGGCGGGGTTGTTTGTGCCGGTGCCCTGACCTAAGCGAATGAGAGCCCCTTTCTTTCAAAGGGAAAGTAAATGCACAGGACCCTCGGTGTTCGGGGTGTCGGGAGGTGGCTCACGCAGCTCCTGGCAGCTATGCTGGAGAGCTGACCGCCTTGGGGGTGCTGGACGCGCTTGCCCTGTCGGCTGGAGGAGCCGCCGGGCGCCTCACCTGTGCCTGTGGTCACGCTGTAGTCACGCTGTCCTTCTTCCTGATTCCAGGCTGTCCAGTGAGTGCGGCGCCGGCGCAGCCAGCCTGTGAGCACAGAGCTAGCTCCGTGCCCGCCCACCAGGAGCGCGCCTACGAGTATGTGGAGTGCCCTGTTACGGGCGCTGTGGCTGACCATAAGGACCTGGATCCTTCTAATCTGGTAATCTGCGCTCGGCCCTCGTCTTGGGGCTTGTCACACGGGGGCAATTCACAGACCCCCACGACAGACCACAGACGGCTAGGGCTGTCTCCCACCCAATGGACAGGTCTAGAACACCTCCTCAGTGCGGTGTCAGCGCGCTGAGGCCGAAACGGCGAGTAGCGGCGCCTGAGGAGGCTGGGGGGTGGGGCGGTGGGCCCGAGGCGCGGTCCGCCCTGCATGTGCCGGTGGGAAGCGGGAACAGGTAGGCGCGTGGGACACACAGATGCCATCGGCTGTGCAGCGGCCTGCACATGGCACCAGACAGCGCGCAGTGGCATGCCCTGCGATGAGTCGGTGCCCGCACGTGCTGTGGGCAGAAGCCTGTGGCAGCGGTCGCGGCCTCTCCCTTTCATCCCGTCAGTGTCTGATAGGTGAGGAACAGCATGTGTAGACGCCTGGTGATATGTGAGCTACTTTGTAGGACCAGAGGTTCTCAGCGTGCAAAGATGCCAGCTGTAGCGACTTCTCCCAGGAGCACATGCCAGCCTCCTGGCATCAGGAGACATGAATAAAGGGGTGGATGGAGAAACCGGGGACCACACTGGCGTCTTCTGCAAAGGAGATGCCTGGGCCTAGATGCTGTTTGATTTGCGGCGCTTTTATTTGCTGGCAGCGAGGCCCAAGCCGGCCGTGCAGTGCTGGGCGGACGCGCGCTGGGGCCACGGGGCGGTCAGCACGGCAGGCTGTGCGTCTCCGCTGTCGCGACTGCGCCCCCATGTCCGTAGCTCAGCTAACTGTGGACGGCTCCCGCCTCCTAGCCCCTGAGGAGAAAGAGGCCCAACACTTAGCATGATGTGTAGCTACTGCTTGGAGAAGGCTCACAGCAGGGAAGCGCCTCTCCATGTCTTCGCAACAGCCCACTCGCCTGAGGGGTCTGGAATGCCGCTGGCGTGACAGGGCGCACGAGGCCAGTCGCTTGCCAGGAAGTGGCCCGTGTCACGCCTGTGTCTGCTTCAGACATTTCCGCCACTAAAGCCAAACTGCACCGCGTTTAGATGCCGCCTCCGAACCAGACCCCAGCCCCGGACCAGCCGTTTGCGCTGTCCACTGCGAGGGAGGAGTCCTCCATCCCCAGGGCGGATTCAGAGAAGAAGTGGGTGTACCCTTCAGAGCAGATGTTCTGGAACGCCATGCTGCGGAAGGGGTGAGTGGGCGAGCAGGCCTGGCTCGGGGGCCCGGCTCGGGGGCCGCGTGCGATCGGCTGCTCAGCAGACCGTTGCCCAGGTGCAGGAGTTCCGCGAGCTCGTCGCCCTGTACCCAGGGTGGGCGTGCGGGGCCCCGCTGTTGCTCAGGGCTCTCCGAGCAGCAGCCAGCGGGGCTGTGTCTCTCGACCCATGATGAGGCTCCCTGTGGGAGTGGGCGATGCGGCCACAGAAGTCGAGCGGTCCCCGCACGGCAGGTGCCCGCCGGACACCCCGGCGGGGCTGGCGGCCACTCCCACAGCAGGGCGCTCCCGCTGGCCCGGCCTTTCTGTTCTGGTCCACCGGGGCCGGCAGCTCCTCTCGGTGCTCCCACTCGCGTGTCCACGGCACCCCGAGGGACACCTGGGTGTCCTGTGGCCCGTCGGGCTGGCGCACAACTACCCTCAGATTAGCGGGCAGAGTTTTTGAAAGGACGCTCGTAGCCGGACGCCTTGGAGGCCGTTGGGGTCACTCAGCCGTGCGCTCACTGCCAATGGGCCACGCCCCTCGGCCACGGCCTCGAGATGCGTGGGTGGTGGCGGCCTCAGTGACGGGGCGGGTGGCACTGTTGGTGACTGTCATCGCGCCCACGTGCGCTGCCCTAGGTGGAAGTGGAAGGAGGACGACATCAGCCAGAGGGACATGTACAACATCATCCGGATTCACAATCAGAACAACGAGCAGGCGTGGAAGGAGATTTTGAAGTGGGAAGCCCTTCATGCCGAGTGAGTGCGTGTGGGCCCTTTAAAGCGCGTCCTTCCAGCATCTTCCTCAGCCCTGCACTCGGAACCTTCTGCTTGAACAGTGTCGTTGCAAGAAGACGCTTCCCGGAGCAGGCGCATCCGTGACCGTCGTGGCCGCCGGGCGGGGGCTGTATGGTGGGTGGTGACATTTCCTGCGTGGCGACACGCGAAGGTGCACTGAGTGGCTTTGCCAGGTATTCTGTCGGTGTGTGACCAGGCCCCGGGCCAGCTTGGGTGTCAGTGACGCGGCCAGACTTCCCCGGTCACTAACCACGACCAGCCGCCATGGCGCCCGCATGGCTCGTGCTGACGGCTGCTCGCCGGTCACTCGCGATGTGGCTGGACACACGGAGGAGGGGAAAGGAAACAGTTTGGCTTCAGCTCCCTCTGCAGCCATTGGCCAGTCTCACCGAGGTGAAGTCCGCCTCTTAGAGATGCACGCCACCGTCTGGGTTGGGGCTACTTCTTGGACCCCTTGAGAGGAGATGCCAGTGACCCGCTCCCAGAGAAGTAAAGCACCCCAAGCTTGCTCCCCTGGGGTCCCTTGCACTTGCCTTGGGTCTCCCGCCCTCCTTGGAGCCCCCGCAAGGCTGAAGCCTGTCTGACCAGGCCGGCAGCTCACAGAGCGGCCCTCCCTCAGCCATGGCTCATGGTGGCGCTGCTGTCCCCCAAGGCAGGGAGCAGGCAGCTGGCCCGGTGAGCCCTCGCCACGCATCCGCGGGGAGGACGCGCAGTTCCCCGCAGGGCCTCGCCTCCCGCGGCCCGGCTCGCCTCCCGGGGGGCTGGCCCTGCGTGCTGGCCCTGCGTGCTCACTTTGACCCGGGGCTCACCGGCACTCACCTTCCTTCTGGAAGGCCTCATCGTGGGCAGCAGACGAAAGGAGAATGCAGGCCTCCCGCCGCAGAGCGCCTGTTTGCTGTGGCCTGCCAGGTCAGGCTTTGGGCCTGCAGTGCGAACACCTCTCGTTTATGTGGGCATTTTGTTGCCATACCCAGGTCCAAAATCAAGCCTACCAGTTTCACCAAACAGGAACGTCCTGCTTCCAGACAGCAGGGGCACCGGTGTAGGACGCTCTGCTCTTGGGACAGCCCGCTGAGAAGGGCGCTGCCCAGCCTGACCTGGCTCTCCCGGGGCTGCGCGGCCCGTGCCCAGGAAGGGCCTGGTCCCCGAGTCTGCAGAGCGCTGCGCACGCTGGGAGGATGGGGCGGTGGGACACGACTGAGCGCGCAGAATAAAGGCCTCGGGCCCACAGGGCTGCTGCTTGGACTTGTCCGGCCGCTCCCTGCACGCGGACACTGCGGTTGGTCTGGAAAGGGCGGCACGTGGTGGTCAGGGGCCAGCGAGCTCATGCCGGCTTTTCTGCTTTGACACTTCCAGGGAGTGTCCCTGTGGCCCCTCGCTGGTCCGGTTTGGCGGTAAATCGAAAGAGTATTCACCACGGGCAAGAGTTCGCTCCTGGATGGGGTGAGTGCAGCACGCATGTTCGCGCGCTCCAGGCTTTCTCGTGGCAGGGAGACCAGCAGCCTCAGAGCTGCCATGCCGTCCTCGGGATGTTCCAGCACTCGCCGTCCAGTGCTCCTGCTCCCACACTTTGCCACAGGGAGGGGCGGGCGGGCCGGGCGGGCTCGGGGCAGCTCCCAGCTGGCCCTGTGGTGGGGCAAGCTGTCTTCTGTGGGGCAGGGGCTGCCCAGGCTGGGCCCATCACCCAGGGGCGTGACCCCGCCCCCGCCCCGAGAGCGGGCGTCCACGGTGCTGCTTTTCGGTCTTTCTCGCCGGCTCTGTGGAGGCTGAAGGTACCTGCAGGTCTTGAGTGCTCACGCGCATTTTCATTCCAGGTATGAGCTGCCTTTCGACAGGCACGACTGGATCATCAACCGCTGTGGGACAGAGGTCAGGTACGTCATCGACTACTACGACGGTGGCGAAGTCAACAAGGACTATCAGTTCACCATCCTGGACGTGCGGCCGGCCCTGGACTCGCTCTCGGCCGTGTGGGACAGGATGAAGGTGGCCTGGTGGCGCTGGACTTCGTAACCAGCGCGTTGTTGGAGATGGGCAAATGCCAGCTATTTTTTTGCAGAGCGACACATTAAACTATTCTCCCCCAAAGTGACTTGCGCACCTGGTGTCTGGGAGCGTCAGGTGGGTGTGGGCACTGGTTCGTCCTTAGTGAGCGGAGGCCAGGCGCGCCCTCTGGCTCTGCGCCGCGGCTGGCAGGGGAGAGCTTGTTGCCATCTCCTGCCCTCTTAGCCGAGTGGGCACCGTCCTGGCGTTTCCCTCTCACGCAGCTTTGCGGTGTATTTCCTCTAGAGAAGCCTGAGGGGCCGCTGAAAAAGCCCTCTGAGAAGCGAGCTGCTTTTCCTTGCTGTTTTCCCGTGGCTACTCGAATAGACCCGCGCGCCCACGTGGGGTGACCAGGTCAGGTATCTGAACTCACACTCTTCCTTGCCAGTAAGTTCCTGGGCTTTCCCAGTGAGCGGCCTTCAAGGCCCTGCGGTGACAGCAGTGACCCTGGAGGAAACAGACGCGGGCCCCGGGCGGCTCTCAAGGCTGAGGCTTCCCGTGCTCCAGTTTCTCATTTATTTGCATGTTAGAGCCTGGAACTTCGAGACGGTTTCCTTTTACTGCCCCTGGCTCTGGGGTCACCAGCTGGCCTCACTCGTGGCGCCTGGGCTTTGGCAGAGTCGCCACACTTGCCCCCCCCAAAGTGCCCCCGCTTCCCTAGCCTGGATCAGGAGGGCCTGGCTGCAGCATCGCGCACGCCCCTCTGCTGGGCTCCCCAGAGCCTTGCCGGCTGAGGGACGAGTGCGCCTGTGTGGACTCTCAGGACAGGTTTCCGGGAGCGCCGCTGCCAGCTGGTCCCTGGGCCCGCAGTCCAGAGCTGGGAGCCACGCGTGGGACGGGCCGCAGGGCGTGTGCCTTTGTGTGTGAGCTAGGCTCAAGGGCCGTCACGGTACACCGGCGGGGTTTGGGCCCTGGGAGACGGCCACGTGGTGTGCATTTCGTCCTGGGATCCGTTCTTTGTGGAACTTTAAAAACCACAACCGGAAACGTCTGCATTTCAAACTGTTTGCGTATTTTAAAATAAAGTCAATAACTACCAGGTTCTGCAGATCTTTTGAGAGTAACTCAACACTTAATAATCGATTGTTCAGACAGCAGAAATCTTTGCAGGCTGCCGGAGGCCCGCTGCCAGAGCTCGCCTTTTTCTCCTCCACTCACGACACTCGTGCGCCCGAGGGAAGGAAGTTCTGGATTCCTGCAGGTGGCGCTGAGCGAGCGGTGGAGCAGGAGTTGAGAGAAACGTGGCAGGCCACCAGAACGTGGACACAGCCCTCAGCAGGGACTCACCCCTGCACAGAGCTAGAGTTGTCCGTGAGAAAAGCCCCTCGGCCGTCAGGCTGAGCTGAAGACGGTTACGGCTTACCCGCCTGCTGTCCCTCCTGCAGAGACCAGGGCAGCCTGATTTCAGAGCTGCTTTGTGAGGGGTTGAACTTGATCACCTGCGGCCATCAGCACTCCACTCTGGGAGGAGATTTCATTTTATGACTTCAGGTTCATTTTGGATATTGTCTTCATTTCAGATCAGTACCTCAGAGCCAGAACAAACTGCTGTGGATCAGGCTAAGTGTGAACAGACAAGTCGGGGATTTGATCTAGGCCTGGCACCTGCATTCAGTAAATGTCCACGTCTACTCTGCCTCATGCTGGGACAGACACGTCAAAGGTGCGGCGCCTGCCACAGGAGCTCGGGCCCACGGAGGACAGGCTTGAGGCCGGGCATGGTGCTCGAGGACGCAGACAGCCGCCCCGGGAACCCGCTCGCCCTTCGCTTCCTGGGTGAGCTGAAGGTTTCTGCTTCCCCCAAGAAAAGGCGCCACAGCACGGTGGGCGTCTAGTGAGGCCACTTCCTGCTTTGTGGACACCATCTTCCTCCGGCGCCAGACTGCGGGGACCCCGGGTCTTCCCTAAGGGCACTGATCCCATGCGTGAGGACTCCACCGCTCGGCTCTTACTACCGTCACTTTGGGGGCTCCATTTCAACATGAATGGGGGGAGGGAGACCACAAACACTGGACCATAGCACTGACCTACTAGAGTTCTTTGAAGGTGCGAGCTGGCGCCTGGAAGCACACAGGACTGTCAGCCATCACCTCATCAACAGGAAGGGAGCATCCAGGCCGGAGGCACAAAGCACTGCACCAGCACTGTCTCCTTGACCTGCCTCTCCAGGAGCCCTAGGGGACAAGCAGAGTCGCCCGATTTAGTCAACCACAGAGGTTGGCGGGCGCCCAGCTGCTTGCTCCGAGCAAGCTCCTAGCATTAAACCCGGTCGAGGAAGGAGTCGGCTCGCAGTCTTGGACCTTTTAAAACAAATAACAGCAGGTGGCCTTGGCTCCCTCGAAGTGCGAATCCCACTTGGCCAAACCGAAGAGATCGTCAGGAGCCGGCTCGTCGTCTGAAACAGCTCGTTGGTCCTCACGATCCTGGTCCGTGCAAAGTTAAGATGGATCCAGAGTTAGGACAGATGTGGCCGGGGATGTGAGGACTAAAGGGATACCTGGAGTTATCTCAAAGCCAGGGATTCCGACAAGATTGCGCCTTCAGATGACACGATTTCTCAGGGTTACAGTATGAGCGACAGAAACGGTCTGTTTATTCTGCGTGGAGCCGAAAAGAGCAGGCCTCGTAGCCGTGGGGCTCACTTCCCTCTGCTCCCTGCCTGGAGGAGCAGCCACAGCCCTGCTGCCAGCTGCAGCCGGGGTCCCGCATCACGCCGCAGGTAGTCAGCGGTTCCGGGGTCCCGCATCACGCCGCAGGTAGTCAGCGGTTCCGGGGTCCCGCATCACGCCGCAGGTAGTCAGCGGTTCCGGGGTCCCGCATCACGCCGCAGGTAGTCCAGCGGTTTTGCCGCTCGTGCCAGGTGCTGGGGCGGACAGTAACATTTCTGAAATCTCTTGGGGAGCTTGTATCTATTCAGAGGTGAGGCGAGAGCAGGCAAAGCCAGTGTACATGTGTAGCTAGCTTGTGTGTGACGCTTCGCCATGCAGTGCCACGGACGGACTGCAGGAACGGTGACCACTGAGGGGTGTGATGGGACGGCAGAGATGACGTCCTGATGAGCTGAGCGCGGCCGGCAGGCGGAGGAAGTGTTCTCCAGGGCTCTGCAGGGCCACTGGCACTGTGCTGGCCCACATTGAGGGCAAGGCGACATGGCCAGCTCCCCCTGCCGCTGCAGGGATGCTGCCCTGAGGCGCTGGCTGCAAGGAAGGGGCCTCCCTGCTGGGCTCCTGCCCCCTGGGCCCCGCTTGGGTGAGCCAGCAGCTGATGGGCACCCTTGGAGGTCAGAGGCCAGGCCGGGGGAGGGAGGGTTTGAGCCAGCGGCTCACCCCTGCGAGCGCGGGTGTGCGGGTCCCCCCTGTGCACCCAGACAGGTCGTGGAGCAGGTGCAGACCAGGCTGGAGCTGGGAAAGCGATTCGACGTGAGGTCTCGGAAGGGGCCGCACCCCTCCCGCTAACTGGCTTTGCCTGTGTGGAACCCCACAGTAACCCTCCACTTGGCATAAAGGTCATTTTACACTGGAGACAGCTGAGGTTGCAGAGGCAGAGAAAAGCCTCCTGGGACTTTCCCTCACCTGGCTGAAAGCAGCAACTTCTGGGAAACAGCATCGAAAGTCTCACTCCTCCCTGTGCAAACAGGTGCACAAAATTCCTCACCTCCCCTGTGTCTCCTGAAACACTTTGTCTTTCTTAAACCAATGTACTTTTTCTTCTGGTAGAAGCCATTTCTTTGCCACCACCCCCTTTCCAGCCTAAGTTAGATACATAAACCTTGGACTTGAAACACTTAGGAGCCAGGACTTTCTTCCCTTGGCTTCCGTTATGTGTAGGAAATGAGCCCTTGTCTCCTCAAAAGCTGTCTCTGGCCAGCTGCGTCCACAGGGCCCAGGGCCAATAGGCGTCAGAGGGGCGGTGTCGCACCCTGCACCCTGTGAGCCAGGAGGGCAGCGCCTTCGAGTGGAGGCAAGAGAACGACAACGCTTTGCGCCCTCTAGTGGACACCGGGCGGCTCTGTCCTCTCGTTTAACTCGAACGGGCGCGGGAACCAGACTCACCAGCCCTAAGGCCTGAGTCATGGTGAGTCGACTCATGGTATGGAAGTAGAAACGAAGGAAGGAGAGGACTTGGCGTCCCGCAGCCCGAGTCCAGCTCGAGCGTGGCGGCCCCCACACCATCTGACACTCCCCGGAAGCCGGTCGGAATCCGGGGTGAAGGGCTCAGCCTCCCAAGACCCTCCCCCTCCCCCCACTTCAGACTGGGTCGGCTTTAGGGCGGCTCATGAGGCAGGAAACCAGTTTACCCACTAGCTGGCCGATGGACTGCCAAGGAGATTCTTCAGCAACAAGCGCATGGGAGAGTTGTGGGGGCACCGCGAGGGCCGAGCTCCTGCGCCCTCCAGGCGGCCGCTCTTCCGGGATCTCCACCCAGAAGCCCGCTGGGCCCTCCGCGGTTTGGAGGCCTCACGGCAGCTGTGACCAATGAACTCACTGGCCCCGTGAGTTGCTGGCGGCGGGCGGCGGGCCCTGTAATCAGCTGGCTGCCCTCTCAGGCCAGCAGCGACCCTCAGGTGTTCTCCAGAAGTTGCCTTCATCAAGGCACAGGAGGCCCCTTCAACCCCTCAGCACCCTGGAGCTTGTGAGGCTCTGGGGACCTGGAGCCGGTGCTGTGGTGAAGGCCAAGAGTGGATGACAAGTACCTGGTCATCGCCACGTCCTAATTAGAAGGCGCTCTCCCGCCAAAGTAGGCCTGTGGGTAGGTGAGTGCACAGACTCATCTGTGTAGCCCACAATTCACCGAGCACCTACGTTGCACGAAGCACTGGGACTCTCGGCGCCTGCGCATCGCATGGGCAGTTTTTCTATTCTCCCAGGACGGGTCACAGCGGTTGACCTTGGCTCATCTGTCTTTGTGGTCCCGAAGCCAGAACTGAGTTCCCGGGCACGTCTTGGTGGGACAGATGGCTGGATGAATCCATTAACCAAAACTGGATGTGACCACCGGATCACAGCGGACAGGAAGGACCTTGAGAGGAAACACTCAACAGTGGCCCGGCGCAGAGCTTGTCTGCAGCCACGCCCAGGGCCCGAGGGAGTGGCGATTCAGTGCGATTGGGGGGGGGGGGGTGCCAGCCTATTTTACAAAGAAAATAGTGTTCGACTGAATAAGAAAAGCAGGGAAGGGCACTGGAGGCCCTTGGAACAGAAGTGCAGAAGCCTGTTCTAAAGCGGGGACGGGGGCTTTTCCTCTGGGCCAGAGGTGGGTCACAGCCCAGGGTAGGTGTGGGGGACAGTGGGGTTGTGCAGCCTCTGTCCCGTGGGCCAGGGCAGGAGGGCGGCCATCATCTTGCAAGTCCTGATCTCTGCAAGTCTTCTGTGCAGAGACTTGCCTGTGAAAGAGGTGTATTTCCCAAGCAAAGTGGAGGTGGGAGGGGCAGGAGAGCAGAGATGAAGGGGTGGAGGTTACCCAAGAGGGAGCAGCGGGCCTGCCTGAGGAAGGAGGTGGCCAAACAGGAGACGCGCCAACAAGGCTGAGCCCCAGGGAAGCCGTGGCGGAGAAAAACGAAAGGAACATGCAGGGCCGGGGCCGGTGCAGCTGGACACCACCTCGTTCCCCCAGAGGCACGGCTGTGCTGGGTCCTCAGGACGGCTGAGACCCCTGCGACACTGCGTGAGGGCACCAGGCTGCGTGGGGGTGCAGGGACAGCACATCGTGCAGTTTGCAGGTCGGGCACCCTCTCCTATGTGTCTGGTGTAATAAGCACACAATGGGTCTTCTTGGAGCGTAAGGATGTCCCGGAAGCCGCACGGGCTAGAACCCAACGTGATCGGCCCTCTAGCTGATACTCGGATTCAGCTGGGCACCACAGCACATTCGGTGCCCACACTTGAGTGGTGCAAGGTCCCCACCCCTCCCTTCCCACCCTGCCAGCTAGTAACATGGTCTGTGCCCCAAGACGCTGGTTCTCGTTACTAGACTGACACCGTCCCGGTGAGCCGGTTGCTCCAGGCTCAATAGATTTTGGCACAATTGAATGTAGAGAATCTTTCCCTTCTGCACCTCTTGGGGGGTGCTCCTCTGGTTGGGGTGGCGCTGAGTGCCCCTTGGCGAATTTCGGCCCACACCAGGCCAGGGGTCTACACCCGAGGACCACTGTCTGTGGTTCAACGGCTCCACAACAGCTTTCTGCCGTCCGGTCTGTGCCCACGAATTCCAGCCTTTACTGGAATTCTCCTTTGGACTATAGTTTTTATCCTCTTGAAAGAAGAACATTTGCTGCTGATTTAGTCCTGTTTAAGAGTCCTGTCCGGCTGGGGTGCTGTCCTGTTTTCATCTCTGTGTGAGTCTTCTTCAGTCATTTCTTTTCTTCCTACTTCAGCTGCTGGGCCTCCTGTAGTTCGCTTATCAGAGCCCTGCAGCACAGGCCTGGGCTTTGTTCCCTTCCTTAGGTTGAATCCCAGGGCTGTTTCTTTGCCAAGCAGATGTGTATTAGAATGTGCATACGAAAAGAAGCAGGCAGGGGCTTAATTAGAAATGTCCTCAATTTGCACAAACTCCTTTGGTATAAGAGTTTTTCTTCCCTATGAAAACCCACAACAAACGTATGTTAATAGCCCCTTGGATGGATGGATGGAGACAAATTCATCTTCTGCCTTTCAGCCATCACCCCCCGGGCCTAGCCAGAGAGCAAGCACGCCTGAGTGCGTGCAGCAGAGGCTGGACATCTGGGGCTCCTGATTTCTTGCGTGTGCGATCGCTGGTCCGCGGAGCCCGGGGCTGACACGGTTCTGTGGAACTGCATAGTTCGCATTGTATTTCTTTCTTGTCAGGCGTCGGATCACGTACCAGGTGGTAAGACTGACTTCAGTGTCCACTCGGCTTTCAGGTCTTGTGTGTGTTTCACCTAAGACACGAGTCGTCACTCGCTAATGTAAAGATGCGCCGCAGGGCTGACCCCGCAAAGAGAAGGGGAGCCCAAGCGGTGTCCAGGACTTCCCCCTGGGCGCGGGCGCGGGTGCTCACCCTGGCCACTTTCTACTAGCTAGTCCAGACCCAATCTGCTGAACTAACTACTCTCGGTCTGGCGGTGGACAGGTGCACACCCCTTCTGCAACCTGTGACACAAACATTGACCCCAGGGCCACTTGATCTGGACGTTTTGGGAACCAGGACTGGAGGGAAGAGTGGCTGGAAGGGGGCCCCTGCCTCGGGGTGGTGGGGGGGCGGTCCAGAAAGGAGGGAGAGAGCGGCCTGAGTGTGGCAGGCTTAACGCTGCGACTGCGCAGGGCGACCACGCAGGGCGAGCGGGAAAGGCGCTCTTTGCCCGGTCTGGTTGCAGACTCTTGGCTGCTTGGGCCGCCAGGAAGAGCGGGGCGGGGGCGGGGAGGCCCTCCCAGGTCGGTCGGGTCGGCAGCAGGGGCGCTGGACCAAGGCCAGAAGCGCGCCAGGTAAGAAACATGGACCACACGTCCAGACTCCACTGCGTGCCCTGAACCCCCCAGAGCAGCTAAAACTCGGAGTGGTGGCCGGCAAGGAGACCGCCGCGAGGAGACCCAGGCGCTGGCGCTGCAGCGACTCATCCCCGATGCAGGGATCGGCTTTGCTTGCGACCAAGTTCCTGTAAATGTCTAATGTGTCAGTGTCACCGGTTGCTGTTCCCAAGCCAGTGCTCTGCAGCTCGCTAGCTGGGCACGTGTGGCGTTACCGTGATGTAGAACCCTGGGACCTGTGAACATAGAAGAGTCTGGAACCGGGTGTGAGTTCCGCCGTCAGATTCAATGCCAGGGAACAAAGTCTTTGCTTAACTTTTTATTCATCATGGCACAAGATAGAGCTTTAAGAAACACCACTGAGAATGTCATCACCCACATGAAAATTAAGAGTAGCATGTTTTATAAAAAAAATCTTTTTTTCTGTAGTATACATTCCCTTATGAAGTGAAAACAACAACTCCTCAAATACTGAAGCGAATCGCCACCTGTCAGTCAAAAATGGTTTTGCGGTGGAAAGACTGCACTGTGGCACAGGAGAAGGCCCGCCTACAGCAGAGATTCCCAAAGACATCCTTCCTCAGCCTTTGGCACAATGGAAGTCCACAGCTGTAGCTTCTCCCCAGAGGTGATTTACTTAACGAATCATGGCAAATAATTTGGCTAATACTGGTTACGGGGCAAGAGGGAAAACCATGCTCTGTAATTTCAACCCTCTAGGTTCTTAAACACTTTCTAGCTGGTTCCAGTTTGCAGTTCTGAAAATACACACAATTATACGTTATAAATATATATCATATGTGGTCTATATAAAACTGAGTCGGGCCTAGATGGGAAAGACAACTTCTTATTCCTCTTTCTGTGTCAGGCATGGCCTTTCTCGTTTGATGAGCTGGATACTTTCTAAACAGATTCTAAAAATATATTCCATAATGTATCAAATGTAATATTCTCCTCAAAACATATTCAGTATGAAAAGCATTCAGTGACTATTTTTTGGTATCTCACTACTATATAAAAATATGGCTTCTCGTATTGTTTTCTTTTCTTTTGTTAGTGTTTTCCTTAAGCGTTGAAGGGCTGTCCCCGTGACAAGGCCGCGGCAGAAGCACAGAAACCGGCTTGTGCGCATTCTAGGACAGTCTATAGAGTCTCGTTGCTTAGTATAAGTGATTTAAGAAAATGTTCCTTCTGTTTTCGGTGAGTATATCATACATGATTATCATACATAATCTGTTACCGAATACACGATAGTCAAAACTGAAGACACATAAACACAGGGAAGCTATACCAAAGCGCGAGTTCTATGTGATACAGGGCCACGTGAGCAGCTTTTACGCTGGACGCTGCCTGGGGCGTTTGCGCCGTCAGCTGGCTATGCAAAAGAACCTTGGCGCAATGGCAAGGGGCGAGTGCTCTCTACGTGTTAGGTGAACTGAATTCCTCAAGTTGCTGTTCGAAGTGTAAAAGGAGAAAAAAAGGAGTGTCCGATTGTCCAACCCCAACTTTTTCCCTACGGGTGGAAGAAGGCTGCTTGGGAGGGAGGGCCGGAGTGGGGCGCTCACACCAGCGTTTCTGGGAGGGCGTCGGGGTTGTCGGTGGACAAGAGCTCCCAGATCTGCCACCGCTCTCGCTGCCAGTCGAGCCAGCCGGGCTCTCCCAAGGTCTTGCTGTTGGCCTCACTGGTGGGCCGGGAGTACGTGCCGCCCCCTTTGGGCGGGCCCGCCAGCTGCTCTGGCTGGGCCGCCTGGCTTCCTGCCTGCACAGCTGTTCCAGGGCCTTCCTCTGGCCCCTGAGGCCTCCACCAGGGGGGCTCTGTGGGCTGGTGGGATGAGGCTGAGGCTGGCTTCCCGGGCCCAGGGTAAGGCGGAGGAGGCCTCTTGTCGGGCCTGGCCCTCTCCCGCGGTCCCTGGGGCCCAGGCTGGCTGCGGCCAGGCAGCCAGACCCCAGCCAGCTCACCCTCCTCGGAGAGGTCCTCAGCGCTGCTCAGAGTCAAGTACTGCTCAGCCCTGGGCTGGCCTCGCTCCGTTCTCTGGCGGCTGCCCTGCAGGTGAGGCGTGCTGCAGACGTGAGGCGCGGCCGGGTGGGCGGCGCCCTGTGCCCTGGTGACCGCGGTCTGAGTCCTGCCAACGATCTGCCTCCCACTGTCCAGTTCTGTGGGGCCTGCCTGCCAGCGAGGCCAGTTCGGGGACAGGTTCCCTTGAGAAAGGGAGGACGGTCCCGGTCGCAGGGTGCTGCTTTCTAAGATGTCCCCGTAGGAACCTGCAAGGGCAAGACATGGCCGATTCCAATCAAAAACTGCAACTCTGCTTTATGAGTAAACAGAAACGCAAACTGAGGGCTCAAAATGCCCAAGATGGTAAGTGATGGGGGGGGGGCAGCGTCCTGCCCGAGGGCCAAAGGGGTGTCTGTGTCACCCCGGGGGGACGGGCAGCGGCTGTCCCTCAGGATTCTTGAAAAGGTTCATAGTGGCCGAAAATCCAAAATACAAACGGTGTGCCTCAGAGGTTCCTGCCAGCACAATTCATTACAAAACAGCCCCAACGTGGACACGGTTGCCCAAGCAGTTCATCCTAGCAATGAGAACACTGCCAGTCTGAGGGGCCCTTAAAAGCGGTGATGGAAAATCAAAATTAGTCCAAGAGTACAAAGCTGCACACAGCATGCTCAAAGTTCTGGCGAAGGAACTGGAACGCACTATCGTCGGGGAATGATGGGTTTTGGTGGAAAGGCAAAGCCCAGTCTTCTCCCCCTTCAGAAATAGTATCTGCACGCCTGAGTATCATGCTAAGGCACAAATTTAAATTAATTTCAAAAGAAAATGCAATGAAGTCTTTAAAAATAACGCCTTACCTGTCATTCCAGGGTCTTTGGATCCACTTTTTAATGTTGAATGCCAAGTTCCCCAGATATTGAAAGGTTCCTCGCACATATCTAGGAACAAGTGTATAAAAAGGGCGTGTAACTCAAGGCAAGCTGAAGGCAACTGTATTCGAATGGTGAGGAATTTGAGGCGCCGTGTGGACCTCCTTTCAGGGGGTTTATTCCATCTGGGATGTGCACAGGGCCCTTTGTGTATCGCAGTGCCCACAGGCGGAACAAGGAGCCCCAAAGACATCTGTGTCAGTGTCCCCAGAACCGGCAGAGATCTTATATTCAAAGGAACCCTGCAGGTGTGGTGAACTTCAGGACCTTGAGATGAAGAAATGAGCCCAGACTATCCGGTCGGCCCAGCATCAGCGAGGGACCTTACGAAAGGAGGCAGCCGAGAAGGTGCAACTTTCTGACTTTAAGGTGGAGGAAGGGGCCACGAGCCAAGGAATGGCAGTGCTCCCTAGAAATAGAGAAAGGCAAGGGAACAAACCCCCTAGAGTTTCCAGAAGGGAGCTCACGCCACCCTGTAAGCTTGTGTCAGACCTCTGCTGGATGGCGGTATAAGAGAGTACGTGTGTTATGATAAACCATCCAGTTTGTGGTCATTTGTTACAGAAGTGACAGGAAGTGACTCCGATGGCGACCAGCAGGCCAGCTGCAGCCCTTGCATCTCTAGTGCTACCTCAGGAAATCACAGATTCACTCCACACATTCCCCATGCCTGCCCTGGCTCTCCCGCGCATGTTCCTGGAAGCCACCACCCCACTGAATCCACACCACCGTGTGGCATGTGATCACGACCACTTCTGGAAGCAGGTGTCTCCCGGGCACTTCCCTATGTTGAATGACTATACCCATCTTCTCACGTCATCCAGACAGATGCACCAGGCCGGAGAAGAGGTTGCACAGGTGTACACAGGCTGACCCTGAGGGTATGAGCGAGGGCTTATCACGTGCCAAGTTCTGTGTTAAGCATGTGACGAGGATTAGCTGTATTCTTGTCCCCGACTGTCACGGGAGGAGAACACACAGCTCGCAGAGGCCCAGCCTGGTGTGGACGGCGCTGCGGGGTGAGACTGTAGCACAGGTTACTCGGTGCTTGGCACTGCTTCGGAGGCCACTGCTGCTCTCCCTTGGGGTGAGCTTATTTCCAGGAGAGCATTTCCGGTTAGACAGGGCTGCTCAACTGGCCCTACTGAGATTTGGGGTGAGCTCGTTTCCTGCTGGGGTGTGGGGAGCATCCTGCTCATGCTTGAGCAGCATCACTGAGCTCCACTCACAAGACACCAGTAGCTGCCCTTGCCGGTCAAATGCCTCCAGACACTGTGACCTGACTGTGGGGGCAGAACTGAGAGCGACGGCGTTCCAGCTTGGCCACGGATATCGCTGGATGGAACGGGCCCGTTGCTGGTGAGCCGAGGAAGCACATTTAGGTCCAGCTACAGAGCCGCTGCGCCACAGCCTGGGCCTGGGAGGGAAGAGTCTGCTGTGCGGGGGAATTTGTTGGGGGTGTCCCTTTGAGTCCCTAGACACCCCGATTTTTCAGGGGCGTCCCTTTGAGTCCCTAGACACCCCAATGAGTTGTGCCTTTATGGCAGCAGGAGTCTTCTCAGATTGCTTTTTCATTCTTGTTGCAGAGAAAGTTGCATATGGAAAAGTTGTCATTAAGGTAGAAGCACAATTAGAGATGGTTTCCCTACAGAGGAAGGGAAGATGAAGGAGGGATGGCAGAGCAGCTTGACGGCAAAGTATTCCGGCCGTGAAGGAAGTTAGCCAAATGCAAAGGCGCACGGCGGGCTTTTCAGGAGCACAAGCTCAGCTCAAACGCAGCTGCCCTGCGGTGGTCTGCGAAGGTGGGCGGGGGCAGCCACACGCATGTGCAGGAAGGCGAGACGGGCGTGGACACCGCTGGGAGCATGGTTGCTGCTTTTAGTCTCAAGTTCAAAATCATGTTTGCACGTTAATACTTGCAGAAGAAAAATAAAGATGCTGTGACCAAAGACCCCTGCCCCCAGAAGCGTCCTTCTCAGAATGGCCCTCTGAATGAAGCGCCACGCTTACGCTCAAAGAGGAGGAATCCGTAGAGCACTACTGGCTGAGTGCCCGTGAGCCCTGGCCCGGAGCGACAGCTCTGGAGGGGCCGGACAGGGCCACCGCTCGCTGGTCAAGTACACTGGGGAGCAGCTGCGAGCAGCAGCCCGCCTCCCTGCGGAAGCCGCGCCCTCGGCGCTGTGGAGAGCTCGAGAAACTGCGGGAGTCTGATCCCAAACGGCCTGGGACCACGGGACCCTCATGTTGACTCCCAGTCTTCATCCCCCACGGAGAGTCTTTGGAACAGGCTGTTCTCTTCCTGAGCGTCTCAGCCCTACCTGCACCACACCCTGGACTTGCGAATGCGCACCAAACCCGCTGGGCAGCACGCGCCAAGCTGGAGGGGGCTTCTTGTGTGTCATGCCCTCCCCTCCTCTTCCCAGACTAGGGGGGCCCCACCAGGCAGCAGTGAGGCTTGAGGAATTACAGCCGCAGAGAGGGGGGAGGGAAGAGAGGGAGAGAAGGCCCCGAGCCCCAGGCCATGCCACGCACCATGCGGGCGCCTGATGTGGCCCGTCAGCTAGGCCCAGTTACCTTTTCCAAGCCTCGGTCCAGGAGAACTCTCCCTTGACTTCGAGAGTGGCAAGCGACCCACCAGCACGCACTGCTCCGGCCCTTTGTGAAGCTTCTCCGAGCCCCCCGGGGCCATGTCCTCTTGCATAGCCAGCAGGGAGCGCTCAGACAGCACTGGGGAGTTGTTGTCGTAAGGGGAGAGGTCTCCGCTGGAGGCCTTGTTGGAGTCTGTGGATGAGTGCCTTCCTCCCACGGAAAAGGAAACTTCCGACGGCAACATGTCAGGGCTTCTGGCACAAGGAGACAATTAGAGGCGCGTGAGCATGGGAGCAAGGAGGGACCAAGCTCAGACAAAAGGCCCATTACACAAAGGGCGGGGGGAAGGCCCCAGGACCGCTGAGCCACAGAACTGGGGAGACATTTCCAAGGCCGCCCCTCGAGGAGCCGAGCGCGTTTCCACGTAACGGCCAGCAGAGGGCAGTGAAATGCCGCCGTGTCACGGCCCTGGCGGGGCCCTGGGTGCGCGAGCAAAGGGAGATGGAGCCGCAACGTCCCTCCCTACGCGCAGGTTTCATTTGGGTTTGCATTCTGAAATTAAAGCTGTTTGCTCACTCTCTATTAAGAAGAACTGGTAAAGGCTCTTTCACCTTGCTCAACATCCTGAACTGAAAATAATGCAGATGGATTGAAAGGACACTAAGTTCATTACGGCGGGCTAACTTCCCCTGCCCAAATATTTAGCAAAAGGAAATCCACGCTTCCTGTGCTGAAGAGGACGATGACGACGACGACGATGGTACTGGTGGGGACAAATGTCTCACTAATTGAATGGCGGCTGGGAAGATATCTACATCACCAGAATCAAGGTGCTTTTACAAAGTGACATACAAATACAAGTAGCAAATCATGACATTTTATAGGTGCATGAGTATCACAGCAACGGAAATAGTGGAAACGTGAGCGGAACAGGACACTGGATGGCAGAAACACGAGAAGTACAAGTCTTACCTGGGGACATCTGAATTTTCTACCCTCCTCAAAACAGTGGCCCTGACATCTTAAAGGGAAATGATCACAGATGGATTAATCAGACCAGAAGCTGCTTGCGCTCCCCCCTCTGGCCACCCCCGCCGCCACTTCCCTTCTTTTTCTTGCGGTTTAAATTTTCAAAAGAAGTCCTTGGTGGTGCCGAAGAAGTTGACCATGCTCCCAGTAACCTCGCCTAAACCCACAGTTGTGTGCATGCAAAATGGAGGGTGTGCGCGCAGGCGCAGTAGCTTCAAGGCGGTTTCCCACCCAGTGCCCAGGAGAAAAGCCGCTCAGCACCTGTGGCCGCCTCACAGTCCCTCAGGCAACCAGGGCCTCCAGCACGCTTTGCTGAGGGACTTTCCTACCCATACGGAATAAATAAATCCCTTCCCTGCCTCTTTAAACCAGTGACAGAAGTGAAGGGCTACCTATGGGGAAGGGCCTGAGGCTGGCCTCGAGGACAACTCCTCAGAACCTTTAGGTCTCTGGTGAATGAAACTGGTGCCTACTCGTCCTGGCAAGTGAGGAAACGCGGTTCACACTCCAGATCTAATTAGAGGAACCATTCTTCCTAGTTCTAGCAGAGGGAACACAAAACTAAACAAATGGATGCTTGTCTGTCCGTGTGGGGCTTGACTCTGGCTGAGAAGACTTTACCAGGAAAGTGAGAGAAAGTCCAATGTCCAGTTCATCTGTCCCACCAAGTCTTGCTCCTCTGGCTTACAAAACCAGGAAGAGAATACAATCAACAAAATATTAGGAGCAGCAGATTCAGCCAAGAGTTACATGCATGAGGAAAAATGTGCCGTGGAAGACATTTCTCAGAAGCCTCAGCACAAGGAACTTTTGTGTTTCTACCAAGCTGACTTACATTATTCTACCCTACAGAACCACGTGTGATGTAATAAAGACTGCTCGTGGGCTTCCGGGAGCTGGGGCTTCCCTCCGGGCGGCACTGTGGAGCTGGTGGTAACCCTTTTCGGGTTCCACCCCCAGCTTCGGCTTATCTATCGCTCTTCCCACTTTTTCTCTGTCGTCTCTCACGTCACTTATGATCTTGTGCCACGTTGCATATTCTTGCGAACTGCCTCAATTGCTTTTGCACTGACCTACAGATGGGGAGCTCACCTCCATATTAATTGTTTGGGGTATGGAACAGGCAGTTGCCTCATGAAAACATTTACTTTGGCCAAAACAGAACAACGAAGCAAAAGAACAGAAGCTGCCATCTACTGCTCTCCTCCAATTTCCTGGCTCTGACTGGCCCAGATCAAAATGGGGGTGAGAGGAGGCCCTGCTCGTTTCCGCATTCTGTGGCTGGACTCTGCCAGAGGGAGTCGGGTTTGCGGCCTTCTAAAAGTTACTGGATAAACAGTGTTCAGTCTGACTAGCCACCAGCAATACCATGCTTAGAGTTGGAGCCGACGGCCCTTTGAAGCGTTTTAAGTGTGTTTCTATCATTCTTCTCTCAGCAGGTCAGTCGGGTGGCGGCCACACCTGCCTCAGAACCCACGTCTAAGATTTGTCTCATCATGTCAGAGACCGCCAGTTAAAAAACAAAGCGAGGCTATTTATTCCCACCTTGGGGTTCTCACATCAACACAGGCAGTTCAGAGCTTGGAAACCGTTAGGGCCTCTGCGTCATTCATCCTTAAATCAACTGGAAGCACATCCAGGACTCTGGGTCACCGAAAAATGAGACAAGCGGCCACCTGTGTCTGGTCTAAGAGCTGCCTCTGAGGTGATTCAACTGTGTGGAGCCGACGTGCCATTGAGCTATGGCCACACAGACTTAGCGTTCATTTAGATAAAGTATTCATTCTAACCAGTGATGTGAAAATGTAGTGGCCTCTCTTTCTACGTGTGGGGACTGCTGGCTTTTGACTGGGAATGCTGGGTGCTGGTGCGGTTGACACGGGCAGGACTCCACGAATGGTGTGTTTTCCCACGAAATCTGAAAACCCTCGGCCCGCCGAGACTGCGCCAGTCTCAGCTGGCCATGTAAGCATGAGATGGGTATGGAGACTGAGTCACTTGCTCACCCTTGCTGTGCCGCCAGGTCAGGGTGTGAGCACGCCGGCCGGGCACTGTGGGCAGGCCCGCACTGCAGCCGGGAGCACACAACTTGTTCTGTGGACAAATGGAAAACCCTGCTTCAACCCCTGGAAGTGGTGGGCCCACCCCTCGCCGAGCCCCGCATCAAGAAATTTCCTTGGAGATTTCCAGCATGTGTTGGCTTCATGCTGGGCGTGATCATTCCGAGACACCTTGCTCTGTGGGCACTGGGAGCAGATGGCCACCTGGGACGCGCTTCGTTGTGCTAGGGAAGGAACACCCGCCACAGCAACTCTGCCCTCACGCCAGCTGTCAGGCTCAGCACGCTCACTTCTGCAAAGCATTAGGACAAGGGCACCCCATCCCGAGAGAGACCGAGGTGTATCCAAACGCCCCACCAGGAGAGGAAGCCAGGTACTCTGGACATTGCAACTTGTCCAGGGCTTTGGGGAAACTTCTCCCCTCATTTTCAGCCATTATGAATTCCTTTCCCATAGTCCTGGGACAGGAAGTCTTTCTGACAGGCGAAGATAAAATCATATTGACTTGATCCATTTTACTTCCAGCAGGTCTGATAAAACATCATCAGATTAAGGTGTGGATGTTTAGAAGGAAATTGTAAGTCACAATAAAGGCACTGGGGAGGGCGCGGGGGTGCTTATCGGTTCTCCCTGCATCTTCAATTAGCTCTGCAGCCAAGGCCCAGTCACACTCTGGACATTTTCATTCTGGAATTCTTTAGTCCACAGACGTACTACCTACACTTGTCTGGATGGCAGACGCTCTTAAACGGAAGGTGTGTTTAAGGCTTCATCGTTCCCAGGGAGCTGCACACAGTGGTAGTCGTGGCTTTCTCCACTGTCGTCCTCCTGGCCAGGTCTGACCTACCAGCTCTCAAAACATCCTGGATGCTTTTCTGACTTCACGAACCCTCGTGAAAAGAGAACTAATTCTTGTCCATCTTGCAACTCTCCATGGTTTTGTGGAAGAGACAAATGAAAATCTTTGGAAGACTGAAATAAATCACCTAGATGGCGTGTATTTGGTGATGGGAGTAGGCGGCCTCAGTGGTGAGAAGGGTGGCCTCCCCACTCAACAGGAGGCCAGTAGGGCTCTGGACAACGATTCCTTTCCACTCTGGAATTGCATCCCTAGACAACTGTGGGCTGTCACCTGTGCTCCAAATTGGCTGGTAACCAGACTTAATGGCTGGGGAGGAGGCAGGTTCAGGAAAACTTTGTGAAGGTTACTGACAGTAACATTTAAACATAAACACCTACGGGCTTGGTTCACACATATCACCCTTCTCCCAAAAGCAGCTCAATTTGTTTCATTTTGATCTGGGTTGTGGAATATAGTAGGAAAGATGCTTTATCTGGCCTTGTTTAACATTGTCTTCCTGAGGAGTCTTTGGAACATGACAGAACAACAGTCGACCTCCTTATACATTTTCTTCAAATCTGTATTTTAAAATGTCGAGACCGGAGCCCTCCCTAGTGGTGCAACAGGTTAAAGCGCAGTAGTACAAGGCTGGCCACAGCCACTGCCGCATGAATTCGAACCCAGGTCCTAGAGGTGACCCACATGGCGCGGCAGACCTCTCCTGTCTCCCCGCTGCTCCCTTCAGCAGTGTGCTTCATCCACCTGCCTGTTCTGCTCCCCACTCTGTCTCTGGGGAATTCTCTCACCCCCTGCACCTCTGGCCTGCACCCCAGTCCTGTATGCATAAATAAATAAAACTTTAAAAAAAGTGTCGAGAAGAGTTGTCAGAGTGACTGCTATGTGACAGGTGACCTGGACTCTGCCAAGCACTGCTGCAGCGTGGATTGATGGAGAGTCCTGATTAATCATGCTTGGTTCTGCCAAACATCCCTCATGCACCTCAGGGAGCTCAGGCACCTCACACAGAAAGCATGTCCTCTAGAGAGAGGTTTTGTATAATTTTTAAATGGTTGTTCCTCTTCCAGGACATTCAAAACAGTTGCAAAAATACGAGGACACTGAAAAGTGGTTACCTTGGAACTTATATTATGCTAAGCTTAAATACTTTATATGTCAAAACTAACGTATTATTATTTCACTTCAGGTTACACTGCATGAAACTTTACTTGTCACTAGGCACAGAGAAATTGTCCAACAGAGTAATTCCCCAGCTCGCGTCCTGGTCTCTGTGGAGGAGCTGTTTCCAAGCCAGCAGGAGCACAGGCTGCCCCCTGCTGTGGGCCCCGAAAGGCGCTGTCTTTCTCTAAAGGTCTGTTATTGTGTGCATCGAGATGCTTCGAGCTTTGGAGATACGATGCTCGGGGTCACCTGACTGAGTCTTGGGGACATCAGGACATTCCACACTAGCTCATGCCTCTCCCACTCCCCAAGCCCCAGCCTGCCCTGCTTCCTCATCCTGCTCAGAGGCTGCGGGGAGTAGGCCCTGTCCTCTTTGATTTCCCTTCGGCCTCACATCCCTAAATCAAAGGAGGGAGATCTGTTTTAAATATCTTTGAAGAAAAGAACGCAGAATTCGAATAAATATACCAGACAAGCCGTTAAGAAACTGGAAATCTTGCATTGTTAGTAATATAAATCTCTCCTAATCTCCTTCTGGCATTCCTTTGGTTGAGGCCAAAAATGCAAGAGAAAATAATGAATCCTCCTTTCGTTCCCCAGTTCTATGTCTGCATAACGAAGGAAAAATCTCAAATCAAAACGACACCTTCCATTCCCACATACCACTAAATGCTTGCGCTTTCAAAACACAAGTATAATAAATATGCCCTCACTCCTGGGTGAAACTCTTTCGAAAGTTCTTTTCAGCTTCGAATAAAATCCCCTGCAGCAGTCACTCAGGCCAGGGACTTGCAAGCTTTCTATGTGGGATGTAAACTTGTGCAAAGACCAGAAGCCACGAAGGGTGTCGGGCTGTCATCTCCCCGCAAATCCTGGCATTCTCACCCTGCCCGGCTGGCCGGCAAGCTTCTGGGGAGTGGGCACTATATAAAGGCGTCCGAACAGGAACTTCGGTCTGAGGCCCAGCCTGTGCGGGTCTTCGGCCTCGCACCTCAGGGCGCACTGTCACCTCTGCGCCCCAGGAAGCCCGCTCGCTCCACCTCAGTGCCGCTCATTCTTCTGTTCAGTAGCGCCAAGCAGGAAGTTTCTGATTGTTTCAGCATCTTTTTATAAACCTGCTTTGTGAGTAATTCTTCTCTCAACTGCTTTCTGCATCGCAGGGACACTGCATAGCATGTTCCACGTCTCTCCTGTACATGGAGTTCCATATCTCTCCACGTCAGCCAAGATCTTGCACTGGAGTCAGCTGCCCAGACCTCACACTGTCATCGTTTAGGGGCTGGGGACTCAAGCCCAGGCATCTGACAGCGTGGATGGGCACTGTCTGGGTGCTTCTCTCTTTCCCTAAGAATGGACAAAGAAAGCTAGATTCTTGGCATTTATCTGCACTCAGCGTGCCTGGGAACCACAGAAAAATAACCTCCATCAACCATGCTTTCTGTATACAATTTATAGGCTTTTCGATACCAGCTGAGAGCTGGAATTCGGCCTGTCAGAATCAGTGGTTTGCAGTGTTTCCCACCTTCCCTGGGCACGCCCAGCAGAGACGCTGCTGGCGCGGCCTGACCCAGGAGTGCGGACAAGCGTGTCCTCTGTCGCTTGCCCAGCGAGGTAGTGAGTTCATAGAGTCTGGTGCGACATCATGTACCGTGGGGACATGCACCTGTTAGTTCAAATTAGAACTGATCCCTTGATGACAGAAATGAGGAAAAGCTCGAGCCCAATCTTGTGACAGGAGGAGCCAGAACACAAAACGCCACCCGCTGCCGCACGCGGACAGTGTTGCTCACTCATGGCTCTGGGGCTTCCACGCGGATGTCTCACTTGCCCCGGCATCCAGTCTGATAATGAGTGCCACAGAGCTGGGTTGAGGGATGATCCAATTCAAAATTCCTCCGGACACTGCAGGAAATGGGGTTCACTGACCTTCGTCGCACTATGCCTATGGCCCCGGAAGGAAGGAGGCCCGAGCAGCGAGAAATTTGACCACATTTCTCTAAATAATATCTTTTTAAACAATGTGAACCAGATTGGCGTGACAATGAATACATCGAATTCAACATCACTATAGAGGATTATTTCGAAGGTAGTGCTGCATGCCACGGACCATTACTTTGTATATACAACTGAGAAGACAGAACATCAAGAATTAAATCAGGTTGTGCCATGGCTGAGATTTGCCTTCCAGATCCAGCCTCCTCTTCCAGGGAGGAAGCGGGGGGATGTGTCTCAGAATTGCTGGAGTTCAGCCGGTTCAAAGCACAGCACACTTCCACCACAGACGACTTTGCCTGTCACAGACTGAAGGCCTAGTGTCTTGTGGGTGATACCGTCCCTGCTTAATGACACAGCAGCACCCCGTCAGTGACCCCGCACCGCAGCCCCGTGCACTCTGCCTCTGCGGCAAGGGTTGGGACTAAGCCCCCGACCCGCAGGAACGCCGTGACCTCCTTGGGGCGACAAGGGGACACGCGGCCTCCTGCACGGCTTGATGCTACTCTCTGAGCTGTGGCTCACGCGACCAGACGGGGCTAGTCAGAAGGACGCGAGCTGTCAAGAGCAGGCGAGGCGAGAGGGCACGGCGCTGCGGCCTGGCTCGGGGTTTGGGAAAGCGACACACGTAAGAGGCAGCCGGGGCCCTTCAGCATGGCACTCCGGTTCTGAGGCGGATTCGCTGTGTGGCGCCCGGCGACTCTCTTGCCTTCTTGCCGGCGTCTTAGTGCTTTTGTTTCCGGGACACCGTGACTCAGAAAAACGCCATCAGGAAGTTTCTAAAGCACTAGCGGGGTTGGGAGGTGGACTGATGAGACTTGCCACATGTTGCCCCAATCCCACTTCACATGCCCTGCCTGGGGCTCTGTCAGCCTCCCCTGTTCTTTAGCATAGAAACAGCTCCTCCGCAAGGCCTGCAAGCTGCGAAAAGCTGTACTCACGCTGCCTGGGAGGCCTTTCTGCGGAGCAAGTAGTCCACCACGTCGGGGTCCGTCTCCAGCAGGCTGATGAGTACCTCGTTCTGGAGATCCGGGGGCACCTGAAGACCACATGGCACAGCGTAAGTGAAATGCGCAGGAAGAGGCCAGCTATGCTCACTGGCCACTTTGCACCAGCACACAATGAAGACTTGGAAGCCACAGAACAGCGATTGCTCGGTTAAACCTACCCTACACCGACGGGGAAGCCAACTGAATTTTAGGGCAAAGCAGACAACTGCGAAGCTCACCACACTGAAAGTCAGGCATCGCCCTTCCAGGCCTCAGCCCAGTCGCACAGGCTAGATGTTTGTATGGCTGAAAGTAAGTAACATGTCAGGGGAAAGAGAAACAGTGTCCATAATTTATTGTCCGATGGGCACATCCGAGAGCTCGTGTTTATAATTGTGCCTGAACAACAGGCCCCTCCCACAACTCCTGTGGGGCGCCCGGCACGGATGGGGTGCGGCCCCCGTGTGGACAGGCGCTGGGTCAGCGTCAGACTGGGGTGTGCATCCTCGCTCCCCGACTGGCTCTGGGACCTTTGGCCAAGACCCACCCCTTGTAGGCCTCAGTTTCCTCATCTGTAAAAGGGAGATAGTGACGGTTGTCACCACAAAGGGCTTTGGCGGCAATTCAATGACCTGTCCTATGCTGAGCAGCTAGAGAGTACCAGCAGACACTAAGCACCCAGACTGGCTGGCCCTCTCACACGGCGCTTCCCACCCAGAGCCTGCCTCTGGTCGAGGGACAGTGAAAGGTGACTGGATACTGCCGTCCAGGAGCGGCGGTGTCACGCGAGCTTGCCGTGTGTCGCTCAGCCTCAGCCACGGGGCATCAGAATATGCTCTCGGGACCTACATCACTCGCGTGGAAATATTCTCCGAGCAGAGGCTGAACTCTGCTCTCGGGCTTTTCTGCTCGTCAGAAGCTGGCAGCTCAACCAGAGGTCACGCCATCAGTGGCGAGTGAATGCAGTTTTAGTCTGAATCTTTCACATGTGGACTCAGAGACAAGACTCTTACAATCTGTGGGGACAAGACTTCCGAGGACAAGCGGTCGGTAGAAGAAGTTTCTTCCTACCTCTTGCGGAACTCCATTCTTCTGGAGCGCTGAGAAGCTGGAAGCAATTTTATTAATGAGAACAGGGCTGAGAGAGCGGCACAGTGGTTTCCTTCTCTCAGAGATCTGCCCCTCTTCCTTCCCCTGATTCCTCACGGACGACACTGCCAAGCGCTGCACATAGCTCGCCATCTGGGCACATCGGGCATCTGCGTCCTCCCCCTGCCCTGCTCAGTCACATGTACTTGGTGTCATCTTCCAGATGCCGATGCCGCCTCTGGTTGCGGCCGTCTGCCCAAACCGGAGCCCCCGTGACCCTGTGCCCGGCCATCTGGGTGACTGGCAGCCTCCACGTCTCTTTCCTTCTCAGTTATACTCCGACCTCCCTCTGCAGAAGCAAGCGGCCCCCAGCCCTCAGCTCCTGCTCCTCGCTGCGACCCACACCTGCAGTCCGCTCGGCCAGCAGCTGTCCCCACACCGCTGTGTCGGCACCGCTGCACTTTTCGCTGCGGCCTTTCCCCACTCCCTCGTCCCATTCACTGCCCAGCTCTCCAGTGGGCGCTCACTGCAGGCCTGGCAGTGGGTGCCGGGGCTCAGCTACAAGGCGGACGCGAACCCTCACCCCTGTGCACCGACGACGGAAACTGGCAACACGCAGCCAGCCAGAAGACATGGACGGCTTTGCACGGAGAGGAACGAGGCCGGGAAGGGCAATGGCAAGCGCGGGCTAGTCGAGTCCAGGGGCAGGGTTGCAGGGGCAGTGTTAAACAGGAGGGCCAGGGGCCGGGGAACCGGCATTGGAGCGGAGAGCGGAGGTCAATGAAAGAGCCGGAGAAGCCCAGTGCAGGTAGCAGGAAGAAAAAGGCAGTGAGGTCTCTTGTCCGGACCAGGGAAGAGGCCGGGGGGGGGGGCAGAGGGAGGAGGGCTGAGCCGAAGGACGGGCGAAGGACGGGCCAGGCGGCCCAGGCGGGCATTGCCTGTCGCCAGGGGGGTGAGGGCGCTGCTCTCGGCCCGAGTGGGCGGGCTGCCCCCGCGAGCCCGAAGGAAGGCTCGCACGAGGTGCACCACCCTGGCTGCCGAGCGGAGAGCCGACTGCAGGGAGAGGGCGAAGCAGGGCGTGCAGAGGGCTGCGGGCCCAGCCAGAAGGGCGGTGACGGGGTGGAGGCCAGGACGTGAGGTGCCTCTGGTCCCGGAGCCGCGAAGACACGGATGAGGGCGTTAATGCATGGGCTGGGGCTGAGAAGGAAAGACGGCTTCGGGGTCTGGGCGACGGGAAGGGCGGCGGAGCTGCTGACTGGGGGAAGGGGCAGCGCGGTGAGAGGCTGGAGTCCAAGTTAGATGTGTGGCTTGGCTCTGCTAAGGGGGGAGGCTGCGGGGCACCCCACGAAGGTGCAATGTAACGGGCCACCGAGAGTAAGAATCAGCCTCGTGGAGAGGCTGGGGCTGGACGGAGGCATGCGGGAGATGCCTAGTGACTGTGGCCAGGCAGCGGCCCGAGGATGACACTGCCAGGGGAGACGGGGCCGCTCTGCGGCCAAGGCCGGGTCACGCTATTCTCTTACTTTATTGAAGAAATTAAGCAAAATGACTGATCATTTTCATCACTATCACTTTTGCAAGCAACATAACCCAATAGATATACACTAGTATATCAGTTTGTCAAAGCCTAATGCCTAAAGGTAAGTAAGCATGAGAAGAGAGAGAACTCATGGTGAAAGGAGCAGCAAAGCAAAAAAAAAAGGGGGGGCCAAAAAATCTATATCCTGAGCTGTTTTTTGAAAGAAATTCCCATGAGCAAATTAGGAAAAGTATTTGTATTTTCATGCAGTTAGTTTAATTTAAAAACGTCTATGCTTAGACATGTAACAAAAATCTTGCTCCAGGCACAGGCCCAGGCCCAGGGGAGTAAACACGAGGCTCGCGCGCCCTCTGCAGGGCCGCGGGCGCCACAACAGCGAATCTGAGCGCAGGTGTGTGTCCAGGGATAGATCCTCGGCGGGGTCGGTGCTGAGAATGGGTTGGCGGAAGCGTCATTATTTGAACAGTAACTTCCCCTAGAAGTTGGTTAAACTATTTGGCAGTTTCAGATTTTACTCATTCAACTGGACTTGTAATGGTTGAGCTTTATTTTATGTGGCATACGTGACTCTTCCTTGGTAACAAATGCAAATAAAAACATCAGGGCTATAAATTTATCTATAGTTTCTTTTAAAAGACCCGCGATGCCATTCTGGCTTGGAGACACTATTTTCAGATAAGTGAAAGATCGAGTTAGGAAAAGTGGATCCAAATATCGCAGGAAGGACAGATAATATTTTCCTGCCGATCATGTTTGTAATCACGCTCTGGTGCACAGAATTCATTATTTCCACTCATTTATTTATAGCCCATCTTGTTACATGATTTAAAACAAAAATTCCTGTGATAAGACCACATACTTTAAAAGAAGGACTGGTTCAGAAAATTGGGACCAGTGGGGAAATAAGAATTTGAAGCGATGCCTGGAACCAACGCTGAATATTCATGCAAAGGCACCCAGTGCTGTCTGTTCAGTAATTCCTCTCATCTTTGACCATATTTGCACATTTCATTTCCTATTATTTAATAACAATTCCAAACTGCTGGCTCAGTTCAACTGGGTAAGCATTCATCTTCTGCTAATTTAGATACTTCCTGGGAAAACAAAAGTCAAGGGCAGGGCGTGAGAGGAAACAGAGCGTGTACTCAGTGAGAGGGGAGAGGCTGGCGGCCGTTCCCACATGCCTCTGCCTCAAGACTTAGGTCCTTGTCAAAATAATGTCTGACAAAGAGTTGCTAGCCCTGAGGTGCTGTTTGGGCTTGCTGTTGAGAATTAATGTAAACTTGGACACATCAACGCTTTTCCTTAGCATTCTGTTTGTTCCTGCATCTGAAAATCCAGGCACATCCGATCTGGGCCTTCTGCCTTTAGCAAGGTGCCACGGAGAGCGGACAGACTGGAAAATTTCTTACTCGCTACAAAGAAGTTTAGAATACAAAATTATTTGTTAGAAATAGACAGAGTAATTAATCCATCAAATACTTAAAAAGCAAAATAAGAGCAGGCGAAGATGGCCAGGGTCGGCTCTGCGGTCTTCCCCCTGACCAGCAGCCCCAGCCCGCCCTCTCCCCTGCGCACTCGCAAAGAAATAGCCGGTCTTCCCTTCGGCGCGGCACTTCTGGCCGGTGGCAGAGCGGAGGGCTCAATGCTCCACATGTCCCTGCTCCTGCTGCCCCTCACCCCTGAATTTCTAGAGTCAGGTCACTGTCCTGAAGCCCTTCCCATCTGGTTCCCGACACCCCTCGCTCAGGGCCACTGCCTCACTGGCATGCAGGACTTATCCGCCTTGGCCCCTGGAACTGGTCAGTGCCTGCAGCTGCAGAGCTCGTGGGCTAGCCTCCTCTGAAGCTCAGGCAAGATCCTGGCTGAGTTAGCCCGAGGCAGGTCTTGGAGGAGCTTCTGGGACATTTTTGCCTCCATACTGAAAAGAGATACCTGAGAGGAAATACCGCTCTTCATCGCGGCATGCATGGCGACTCCGAGAGAGATGGGCAAGGGCGGCAGTCGCTCACGGCGAGGGCAGAACGGCCCACAGCGCCAGTGAGCTGCCCGAGCTGTGCCCGTCTTCACCTTGTGTCACGTGAGGTAAGAGAGTCCGACGTTTGCAGCCACCTGCACTTGGTTTTTCTCCTCCACGGGGAGGGAACTTTTACCTACACATCCAGAACCCTCGGCCCCGTTACACAGGCGTGCTGCACGCCATCCCGTTGTGCTCTTCCAGGACACGAGCGAGGGGGAGTTTTCCACCAAATGAATGCGCAAGAGATGGCAGATGACTACGAATCGTGACCGAAGACAACCCAGGGTTCTCGGCCGTTGGGGGAGCTTACGTGACCCTTGCCTGCACGCTCCTCTCGCGTCTCAGGAGCACCGGTGTGCTCTGGCTGTTCATTTCTATCTTCGGAAAATAAACTTCCTACA